TCAGGATCTTTAGAGAGATATACAACTTCCTCCTTTCCCTCATCTGGAGTTTCCTTTTGGCCATAACATTGGACCCCAATCGCTCTCTCGAAGGGGAGATGATCATGCAGAAGATTCAATTCTTTAACTTCATTGGCTCTATCTTCTGTTGCTACTGCTTTCAACCCATCATCAACATAAATGTCTTGCTGAATTAACTTGGCTGCATTTTGACCCATCACTTATGCCATGTCTATTGCTATCTGTTTCAAACCAAAGTTGTTAGACAGCAAAGTCGTCTCTTACTTCATGCTCGCTGAATGAGTGAGGATCGCCTCTGATCGACTTCTTTTTAGCTGTACCTCATCAGGCACAAATCGTACTGTTGTACGATGGCTCACACCCAAAGGATCGTTGTGACTATCGGCGTACCCTGCATTTACTGTGCCAACAATGCTCCATCCCAGATCCGTCTGGATTGCATATGGACCTCTATCATCAGGAGAGTGGATAACATCGCGTGGAGCAAGAGCCTTGACACAGTCGTAGCCGATCAAGAGTCCTATTTCAACATCTTGAAGAGGAGCTATCATGTCAGCAATCCTGAACAGATGTCGGAAGGATCTTGCCATGTCAGGAGTAGGAATGTGATGTCGATCTGCTGGCATGATGTCTCTCGTGAAGGTAGGAGGAAGGCTGATGATCTTCGTGGAGTCATTGAATGCTTTCACCTGAAGACCAGTCACCTTTTCACTTGCAAGTCTCTCATTCGCCTTGGTCATGGTAGAGAGTAGCCGGTTTACCTCTGTTCCTTTAATTCCCATCTTCTCCTTAGTAATTTATCCTTGTCGGAGGACTCATGAGACAGCCACACTGGAACGCTCATTGTTGACTTTGTAGAATGACTGGATTCAGAATTTGATGCATAGGATGTTGAATCCAAGGTTTCCATGTTATCCCTTTCTCTGTTTGTAGCATCCTGTCGTCTTTCCTTCCACTGATCATTATGTAGAACAGTAGGATGATTCCCTCTGCATGAATAGCATGCATCGTGCATCTCCTTGATATATGTCTCTTCTTAAGGCAGCCGAAACAGAGTCCATTATCCATAACAACTTTTCTTTTCTTCTGCATCGTCTCTGAAATGAAGGATGAACATTCAGTGAGGTGATGTCGACCATTGTAGAAGGTGCATGAAAGAGTCTCTCTCTCAGCAGAGCCATCTCTCTGATTCTGATGGGTTTCTGTCTGCATAAAGCTGGAAGTAGCTGATTTCTTTCTTTCATTTGAGGTCTGCAGATATTGTAGAGAGGTTACAGGGTCACAAGCTACTATAGCTTCTTCTTCAATAAAGTCGGTGAAAACAGAAAAGGGTGGGAATGTCCCCACTCTCGCCTCCAGTGAACGACGTTCCTGCTCCATTTCACGACCAACCAATCTGGGAGTTTCATCAGAAGCTTCCGCTTTTCTCGTTCATCATCAAGATGGCTTAAATGATGAACATACTTCGAAGCTGTGTCACACTGCTTCAAAAAGTCTCCAAGTCTCCTTAGACCAAATGCATCTCTGGAACCCACTCTTGGCCAGGAGTCTAGCTTATCACGATAGGCATTGGATACCACAAATGGATCTTCATATCTCTGCTCCAATACCTTCTTTGCCTCGTTGTATCCTGCAGCATCTCCGATCATGGAATAACCTTGAACAAGGGATCTCGGCTCACCAGTAAGGTACTTTAAAAGAAAGTAGAACCTTACTTTGATGGGAATTCCTCGATGCTCGATTAAGGCGTCGTAGCTTCTCTTCCATGATGTATAATCAAGCGGATTGCCTGAGAAATGTCCGGGCTCCGGAAGAGGTAGCCTGTTTAAGCAGAGCAGCTCCTTAAAACTGTTGGCGAGAACATCTTCATTGCTGGGCTTATCTGCTGGTTGATGACTTATTTCATCATCTTTCTTGGTTGCAGGCTCCATGGGAGAGACGGGTGCTTGTTCGTTGACCCAATCTCGAACTCTTGGTTTTGCTGAGCGGGAACCAGACTTTGAAGCGTGAGTTCCACCTTTTAACTGGATAATGATTCGCATGGTCTCTCTCATCAGGGATGAATGCTCCTCTTCCATTTTATCAAGCCTGTCTTCACCATCATCTTCGATATTTGCTGAAGGATCTAAATCAGCGAGCTCTTGTTGTACAACAATGGCTTTGTCCATAGCTTCCTGTACTTTGTTGCGGGATTCTTTGATCACCTCAGCTTGGATGTCGTCTTTTACAATAAGCTGACGATGCTTATTTGCCATTCTACTCCAACGTCGAATGGCAATTTTCCATGACTTTACAGCGACATCCGCTTTATACCTCTCTCTGTGGGCCTTCTATCCCTTTTGCTCGCTTCTTCTCCTTCAGACATGATGACGGTCTCTAGCTAGTGATGGAAGATTCACTTCTAGGAATGAACCACTTTGCTCGATCTAATGTCATCACACAGAAGAGTTTTCACTGTGGCTGCAGCGAGGTCGACAACAAATCAAAAGTCGTAACAAAGGCTTCTACAGGAATTCGTATAGCTTTAATGATCGAAGAAACCATTCCATTTTGTTTCATTCCGTGAAATTCCAGTATATTCCATGAAATTCCGTACCAGTATATTCCGTGAAAACTGTGGATAAATCATAGATAAAGAATCATAAATAAAAGTACATCATAGCATCATCACTATAGCAATAAACACAGTCTCTTTGAGAAACTCATTAAATAATGTACATTGTGTCATGATCTTTATAACTCATTAAAAATACCCCAGTCGCTATTCTAGTCCATCTGCATTAACTGGCTTTACACAAATACAAACTCACACTACAAATGTCAGAACTAGATTTCAATATAGCTTGAATCGATGAGCTAAACAATTAGAAACTTCAAATCTCTACTTAGTGCTTCAGCACTCTCAAAATAATCTTCAAAGTATTTAACAATATCTTCACTAGTTATCACTGTTCTTTATATAAAGTCAAAAGACATTATATCATAACTGCATGGGCTTGCATGTCTGACATTACATTGCATACTAACATGAACATCTCTCAGTAAGAAGTTCAAAACATACACACCAATTTACACTTTATGTTTCGACAATTCATAGAAATACATTCAATATATAACAAAACTAACCTCTTGCTTGACATAATGACAAACTTAGAACTGAAATCTCCTTGATGCTCTGGCAAAAAGGGGATTCTTGGACCTCAACACAACCATGTTCTTGTAGCCTTCTGAATGTTTGATATCAAGTGAATATCAATAGATGGCGCTATACTAGGCACCTTGCCTGAGGAAGTGTTATTACAAATATATGTGTATTCATGTCATGCATCAATAGTACTATAAACAAATGACTTGGGTGATAAAGTATTTAAGTGCAACTGTCACAACAATCTTCTTTCTCTAATACTTTAATGAAACGTCAAGGCTTCCGCGATTCGCGCAGGAGGGGGGGGGGGGGGGGATTAAATTGAGACAAGGATTAAGAGTCGAGAACGGTACAACGAATCGCCTTCTTTCTGTGTAAATGATTTAATGAAACGTCGAGGCTTCCGCGCTTCGCTCATGAGGGAGGGGGGGGGGGGCTGAATTGAGACAAGGATTAAGAGTCGAGAACGGTACAACGAAACGTCTTCTTTCTCTAATGATTTAATGAACCATGAAAGCTTCGCGCAGGAGGGGGGGGGGGGGTAAACTGGGTTCAGACGAGGATTAAGAGATGAGAACGGTACAACGAATCGTCTTCTTTCTTTAATGATTTAATGAAACGTCAAACCTTCTGCGCTTCGCAGAGGAGGGAGAGGGGAACTAGTCCCTCCCTGACCCACCCCCTATTACGTCACTGCTGGTCACCATTACGTACCAATATTTGGCTCGCATAATTTCAGATTTAGCCCCCCCCCCCCCCCCCCGCAGAATTCATTGATCCGCGCCTGGAACCACCATCAGCTTTTACACATCTGTATTATAATGTGCAGTAAGATTAACCCAGGTGAATCACAAGTTCGCCACCCCCTCACCCATCTCACATAATGAGTGAATTATTTAAAAAGGCAGTTGTCATTTCCAGTGTTACATCGCCAAACCTACGTCCAATTACTGTTAGCCGCGGTAATGGGATGAAACGAGTACTGCTGTATCTCAGTCTTTTACTCGTTCAACATGCTCATGAAACCGAATTAAACCAAAGGTCCAAGGCCCGTTAAAACGCAGGCACCCTTGTCCCTAACGGAAACTTAAACGTTTACTTTGCACTCTACGCTTCGAATTTCAGCAGAATTTTATTGAAGTAGCAATCCCTGATAAAGAGGGCAAATCCGAACATTTCGGTAGACCGACAGTCTACGAGATAGACTGCCAAAAAGATCAATAGCCTACGATCGTATCAGGACAATTACCCCCTGGACAATCACCACCCAGGAAATTACCCCCCGGAAACTACCCCAAAAGAACAATGCATTGTCCGATCATTATTCAGTATTGTGGTCTCCTATTACAATAGTTAAAGTGTCAAAAAAGGCAACACTTTATATACCTCAAAGACTTATGACGGATAATTCTATTAAAGCATTTGGATGTTTTATTAATGGCCTGTTAAGCTTTCTCAAGGACACCTAGTTCTGCGATACAGTTATATGCCTACTTTACAGTAAACTATGCACAGTATCAACTCTTCAGGAATTTTCAAAAGTGCAATCAGTGATCAAATTTGAGATTGTGACCTTTTATTTTTGTTTCTTTGTTTTGAATCTTTCTCCTCACAAACAAAGTCAGCCATGAATATGTTTCGCAAAGGTTTTGGGGAATAAATATAAACATGAAGAGCAAAGATTTAGCCCGTATTTCACTTTGAAAAATATGTAATACTCACTATAGGCAAGGCCTACCGAATCTCATACTCTTCGATCTTTTTGTCTTCATGAAATTGTGAACAATGAATCGATCCACTACGGATATGTTACTCCATATTTTGTTTGATGCAGGTACAAAATCATCCCAGGTAGTTCCAGATGGTCTGGTTTACACTGAAGTCAAGAAGACGCTGGTTCGAGGTGCACAAGGTGTTCTTACATGTCGCTTCCATGGAGACCCATTGGCAGTCTACTGGAAAAGGGGCCTTGATGATCTAAGAACCATGGTCTCTTGGATTGCTGGAGAAGTATTAGGTCCAAGATATGATGATGGAAGTTGCGACCTCGGCGAAAATTATTCCCTGATCATCAACAATGTATCCACGGCAGATGCTGGACGAATACACTGCACAGTTGTAAACTACAAGGGAGTTTTGATTAAAAACTACACTGATATTTTAGTTGCAGGTAGGTTATTTTGAAGAAAATATATTTAAACAAATTATGGATGTAAACAAGAACAATTTTGATAAGTACTGGTTCAAAAAACCTACAACCTATACCTAAAACTAATGACTTTACATTGTAAATCTTTACAACTTATGTTATAGGTTTTGATATCTCTCAGAAGCATATACAGTATAATGTTTTAAAATCTGTATATTTCCCTTTTCCCAATCCGTATATTCCTGTTCAACTATGATTATAGGTTAATATTATTGTACTTTGGTAGATATTATTTTCCGTCATCAACAAATATGTCTTTTCTAGCATTTGCTCTGATAAACTTTGGCTATCATTGTTCTTCCTTCAGATACTGTAATCACAACAAACCCACAAGTCACTCTGCAGCTGCGTCAATCCACATATGGTATCCTGCAATGCACTGTTCACATCAAGGCCAGAAGAGTGTCTTGGAAAAAAGGAATTACTTCTTCAGCAAATGGAAGTTTTGTTGTAATTGAAAACAACCAAGGGGTTGCTGAAAGAAGTGGAGCTGGATACGACGACGGCACGTATAACATTACCCAAGATTACTCGCTGGTCATCAAGGAGGTACAGGTCCATCACGAAGGTCTATATGTTTGTGAGGTGACCGATGATACCGGGCTATCCTTCCGTAATCACACATTTGCCAATGTGATTGGTAAGTATTCATCATTGGAAAACCCATGAAGAATGTTCATTATTACGTTAAAGTATTATTGACTAAGTTGATTCGTTTATAAATTTCTACAATTGAATCTTAAAGTATTTGGAGGACAATGTGACAAACCATTTCTTATATTTCAAATTTAGCCCAGCCTCTGGAACCATTTCCGACCATCCAGGAATGTCTGAACGCTGAACAGCATGACTCAAACTACTGCACCCTGGTCGCCAAATCTGGAACGACTCTAACATGCCAAGCGGCGAAGTACTACCCCTCTATCAATCTTGTCTTTATATATGGATCCAGAGCACTGGAGCCATCAGATAAAAGAGAATGGGATAACATCGACGGAACGAAAAACAAAACCATCACCATTGCCACCAGGGGTAACAAAGAATTGTATACATGTGTGGCTTCCAGTATTCCAGGAACTAATGCAAATAAATCAACATCTGTCCTACTCCAAGGCGACGAACCAGGGAATTCAACAGCTCTGATGAATCTGATGACAATCTTAGGTTGTAAGTTGAAAATACTGGACATTCAGAATATTAATTTAAAAGAATCCAACAAAATGTATATGTAACGTGTAAACACGAAGCCATGGTTGAGAACAGGCTAACTCAGTAACCAATAACCTTGCTATGGAAAATGGTCGAAAACTATCTGGAAGATAACAAAAACAATTTAGAGTGAAAGCTTAAAAGATTAGTATAAAAGCAAATTCAATATTCACGTATACATACATAAATATTATTGCAACTATTGTGCCATGGAATCTCGTGAAGGCTATGTACTTATGTTTAACATGAAACAGTACCTTGAACATGTGTAAATAATACTGATATGCGCAGCTTTGTATTTATATCTTCTTTATAATTTTACTTTAGAAATGTTAACGGAGCAATTTTTTATCGAATCGGATTTTACTAAATTGCCATTACATTATCAAGATTTCAATGAAGTTAAACCTTGTTTTAATAAGAAATATTTATTACGAGAAGGTCAATATAGCATGCAAACTTGCTACAACAGTTATGTGTTTCTCATTGTTATCCTCATATCGTTTCATTTGTTCAGTGTTTGCTGCATTGATACTCATCACTTCAGTGGCTTATTTTTTTTGGAGAAGGGCACACCGTAAGTTATTTGGTAGTATTATTTGTTTAATGGTGCAAAATGCAAGTAATGCCTAGGTTACATTTGCTGCGGCGGCCGTGCGGTCTAAAATATCTACGGCCAATAGCAATTATAGGACCGCCGCAGCTTTCCCACCGTCACATACGGTAGCGGTCACATTATGTTAGGGTAGCCGCATGGCGTATTTTGAGTTTGTGGAGACACAACATTTTGGACTGCCGTTCGGCCTTTGAAGTAGGTCCTTAATGGCGTTCCTTTCTGACAAATATTATGGCAGACGTAAGGTAGCCACAAGTTGCCCTCAAGGCGGCCGAAGGGGGACCATACGGCCACCGTGCGGCCAGACTCATGCTGCCGCTTCACCCCTGGAGTATATACAAATGCAAGGCTACCGTACGGCCGACGTACGTAAACCCTGGAACCGCTCTACGGCATGGCTACGGCGTGTCTAATCGCTACGGCAAAACTAGAAATGAATACAGTTATAACTCTGCGTTATAATCCCACGGCGACCCGTACGGCCTGTAAAGATAGGGATACGCCCTAGGGTGACCCGGGGGCCACCGCAAGTATTTCTCGATTTCGGGGGGTTACGGCCGCCGTATCCTAGCCGTAGAGCAAATGTGATACATTTTTTAGGCTTTAATAGTGAAACATCATTAAGAGGAGGCGAGTTGGCTCAGTCGGTAAAGCGTCTGCCTGTCGAACCAAAGATTCCGGGTTCGACTCCCACCGAGGCGGATGACTGAAGTCTGCGTTGTGTGTTAACGTGCCCCTTCCCTTGTTAATAGACGCAGGGTATGTCGAGTGGAAAACATTCCGTCCCTCGAATAGGACGTTAAATGGAGGCCCCGTGTACAGGAGAGTCACCACCCTTGCACGTTAAGAACCCATTGCACTTTTCTATAAGTGTAGGGGGAAACCCCGGTGTAATGATCCACCTGCACACCCCAATCATGCCGAGTATACGGCATCTGCAATAATTTTCAGTAATGAAGGAGGCAGATTATCTTGAAGAAGAAGAAGAAGAAGAATCGCCTAAAAAATAAAATTTTGACACTGGTAGCTAATTAAATTTTTCGTAAATTTTGCTTTTAGAGTTCCACAGAAATAAATAAACTAAAGAGAAAATTGTTTCTGCCATATTTGTGAAAGAAAACACCAAAACGTTTAAATTGCTCGATTATTATACAAATCAGACCACTCCAATTTCCTTTCTCGGAAATTACTAATATAAGTTAGCTAGATTATGTATTGTAGCCTAATAGTTAAGGATATACAATATATTAACCTTTAGTCATCAACCTTTAGTCACATGCCGATTATAGAAATCAATTTATGCTCTATATCCATTTAAAATAGTAACATACATTTTCTATGTGGGTCTGTTTCTAATTGGACTACTATCCCTTGCTCGACCCATGAGATACAGGCTTGGTTAAGCGCTTGTTTACACTTATATATGTGAAAGGGGTATTCCCACATACCACCATGTCATATCATTTATAAATTGCTACTCATGACGGAAATATAACACAAGCCCAATGAGAAATAGTACGTACAAGAGGGAAACCATAATTGAGGCAAATTTTACAGTCTCCGTCCGCGCGCGCAAAATTGTTAAACGTTCAAAAAGATGTGAAACGTGTAGTGAATTGGTCCAATAGGCATTTTGACCAATTTAAATTTGTGACGATTGCGTACGCGTCCATCACGATGCACGGACGGACAATGGTATGGAAAGTTTACCCGTGATGTCAAGTTTATGCATATCAAATATCGTCCAGAAATATTGTCAATGATAACAAAATTTTAACGAAATGGCGCCGATATTACGTCACGCATCAGTAATGAAGAAAAAAAAATCTTCTTTAAAGGGCAAGTCCACTCCAAAAATAACTTACTTTTTATAGAAGCAGAAAAATCAGACAAAACAATCAAAAAAAGTTTGAGCAAAATCGGAAAAAAACTAATAAGAAAGTTATGAATTTTTGAAAGGGTATGTAAAACTATAGAACATTGGAAATCACTACACAAATTGCCAATTTGGTTATTAGTTTGTGACGTCATGTCCTCACTATTTATCAATTGCTTTATATAGTTTAATTCTTTTAATTTCTCTTTTTATCCCCCAAAACTTGATTTCCCCATGCCTTTGCCCAGGTTTTATGATTTGTATCATATTGCGTGCATTACATTTCACAAAATCTTTTATGAACTATGAACATTTTATACTATTTTCTGAATATTGTATATTCATAATTATTGATTTTTATATAAATAGTTTATCAAAATTCACATTTTTTTTATGATTTAATTGGAAAAAATACTCTATATTATCCTCAGAAAAACATATTACTATTAATCTAATTTGGATGCTGGCGTGAAAAAAAAGATCCTAAGGGGGAAAATAGGAAATTTATATTATCAATATATAGAAATTAATTAGTGGATATTAAGGACATTACGTTACAGACTCGTGAATAAGTTACCAATTTGTCTTGTGATTTTCAAAGTTGTTCATGTCATTAAAAATTCATAACTTTCTTATTATTATCCAATTTTGCTCAAACTTTTTTTGATTGGTTTGTCTGATCTTTCTGCTTCTATTGAAAGTCAGATATTTTTGGAGTGGACTTGCCCTGTAAGATCACTAATCATGCATATGGCACATGTCTTAAACATTCCATTGTCATTTATGTCAGCTGTATTCATGAGATATGAAGCGAAAACAAATCCATTCAGAAAGAATAGGAAAAGAACCATTAGATTCTGACGAAATCAATAGGTGCTCTGCTACGCTGACTAAATAAATTATTCGTGTATAGCACAAATCACATCATAATTTAACGTCCCGATACGATTCGAAAGAAGTTTGGATATTATTACCCTAGATTTAAGTCTGGCAGCCGTATCCAGCACACGGTGCATTTCAACCAATTAAACCTGCCAGGTACCTATTTAACATGTTATTACAATTGTGAGTTTTCAACAAAAAAAAAATCTTCTAATTTTTTAGCCCTCCACAGGCTATTTATTAACAATCTCCACACAAAAAAAACATCAAATATATGTGCCTGTTTAAGCACATAAAAAAAAAACGTTTCTATACAAACAACAATTGTAGCAAGTGCCACTTTACAGAAACATGTCTTTACATTCTAAATAGACGTACAATATATTTCCCATCTTTATACTTTTGTAAAACTTTCTTCTTCAACATATTCAAAAAGCGGAACAATGCTATTCAGTTTACAAATAAACATCTGTTGTTTGATTAATATAATAATGCAATTTAGGGCATCGTTTCTCTTATCTTCAAATCCAAAATTATATTTTGTAAATTGAACAAGATTCAAATTTGAGTTCTTTCATAAATCCAGTTTGAGGATTCATTCCAGATCTTTATACTGATCTCACATTCATAAAATAAATGTACCATATCTTCAATTTCTTTTTTACAAAATGAAAATTTTGCATTGTTTACAATTTTCATCCTAAATAGTTGTTTAATTAAAAACGAAATGATATTTCAATTCTTATATTGAAAGTATTTCAGACGAACAGGTCTGAAACGGAATATCACGTTATATTTTGGTATCAATACAGCTGGTAAATTGTAATTCAAATATCGTTCCCACTTTAAACTTATTAGAGACAAACAATTTGTATTGATAACGCTACAGTGGATAAGCTTGCGGCAGCTTAATAATTATAAAAATAATATTTAATTTTTATTTAGCGATTAATACAAATGTCTCTAAGCGCTTTACAAATATACTATTACCCCGGTCATTGGATTCAGTGCTTGCCCGCACACACTGTGTGCACAATCTCCACTCCCTGGGGTTAAGACATGTGTAGTACTGTCACATCGCACATCGCATATATAGGCTTGCCTAGTGTTACCCATATCAGATAGCTCCTCTACTGACATGAATCCAGTTAAAAGGGGGGAGATGATTACAAGTCATTGTTATATATTCCTGAATTTGGGGCATTGTTTCGAGGGAGCAATCAATTAGTAACGCCAAACATAAATGCTGACAAGGTGACACCACATTTCACCCCAAGAAAATAAAATTAACCACACAGATTTTGAACTGAATAAAACGCTAATGAATTATTATTAAGATCGTTGAATATGAACCACTCTATTTAATTGTTTTATATTTGTATAAAATGCTGCCTCACCTCTTACTTCCGAAAAAAAAAGATGTATGCGCTTTAAGGGGGAAAACTCATATTGTTTACTCTGACACAGTGTCATTTTGACAAATTTAACATGTGACTTTCATTTTTTTAATAGATATTGTAGAAGTAAAGGCACTTGAACAACGTGTGAATGATAAACTGATGCAGCACTACAGGATAATATGTAACCTTATAGGGCCGACATCTGCCATCATTCAGACTGAGAAAATAATCAAAGAAAACAGGACTGCTCTTTTCAATACTCACCAAATGATGACCGATGTGAGAGAACGTACTATATCTACAAGAGTCGAAGAAATGATCGACAAAGAAAATGAGCCAGGTAACACTAAAACTTCTACAGCAACATAGAAAGTTGATGTACAGAACACAACTCCTTCCGATAAAGTTTGCAACTAAAGGTAGGGTGAAGAATTGGACCCCAATTTGGGTTGCAAACTTGCACCGTAGAGCGACCATACGTGTATCCTTATGGTGCAGACATTTCCTACCCTACTTTTAGGTGTAAACTTGCCCCCTAGAGGGAGCAGATGTGCACCCTTATGGTGCAGACATTTGCTACAAAAGCAGCACCCCTTAGGGTGCAATTCTTCAACCTACTTTTAGGTGCAAACTTGCCCCCTAGCGGGAGAAGATGTGCACCCTTAGACGTAGACGTCGAGTTCGCTTGCATCTTTTTTTTTTTAAACCTAGGCTAGCCATCCTGTTAATTTTTCAAAGCGGCGTGCAAAGAGGTCAAAACCAATTAAACTTTGATTATTTGTTGCTTTTCTTAAAAGGCAAAGATCCGAAGGAATACTACTGGATTTCGAACCCACTATTCTACGCTGACCTTACCGATTGAGCCAATGACTGGTTGATGAAATCACCTAGGATGGCTGGTCTACCCTTAAAAAAAGACAAAGTCCGATGATATCAAATGATATTGAGCTCATTGCTTTTTGTATAATCATAATATTATGGAAAAGTTAAAAATACATTTTTTATTTTTTAACATGTTTAATCTTGTTCTTGGATATCGACACAAACTTGAGGACATATTCAACTTTAAATTATTATTTGTTTATTATTAGGCCTTGATACAGACTACACCGGGTGCATATTTCGCACCCTCCAATATCTCGCACCCACAAGGGTGCACATTTACGCCGCCCATCAGTTATTGCACCCTAAAAGGAGCAGATCAGCACCCTCTGCCAAATACGCGTAGGTGGGTAAAAATCCGCATCCCAATTGCACCCTAATTTTGCAGTGTGTTGAATGTGGAAAAAAGACTCTTTTGTTACCTTTACTTTAGTATTAATTTTATATTGTATCATAGCTGATGACTGGCCTTCTAACGAGGAACTGAAAACGATTTCACGTCATCTCACACAAGAATCAATGAAGGAAATCTGCAAGAAACTAAACATTGACTGCAAAAACGATGATGCTAATGACGAAGGGAAACGGTTCGAACGTCTACATAAATGGAGAACCAATGTGTTAAATAAATCTTTAGTTGATAAATACAGGCAACTTGCTCCAGTCTTCGAATCAAACAACCTAGGAGGTATCTTACCCACATACCTTTTTCAATGTTACTTCTTAAAAATAACAATCTCTACAAATGAATAAATGTTTATTAAGATTTGTATCAATGCATGCAATCGTAATATAAATTAGAATTTCCTTGCAAATTCAGAGTTAAATTAATTTATTTTTTGTCACATCACTACTAATACAATGTTATTTCATTTACAATCACTGCTTGACTTAGGATTGAGTCGTCAAGTTGCATGAAACATTTTTTAGTAATAAAAGCTAAGGAACATACATTTTGTGCGTGGCCTGTAATCATAATTCCGGTTGTCTTTTTATAATCTCAAGGGTTGCTGCCAACTTTCAGAAGACCATATATCTACAAAGCGGAGCTCGTTGATATGGCTTTTCATCTGCTCATGCATGATCTCTATCCTATAGCTAAACAGCTGGGTATCAATGCCACTAAACTGGTATCATATCGACCCGCCTTCGATCCTTCACACCTTGAGATTGGAACCATCAAGTTACTCATTGATCCCTTCGAACCCTTCGAATCCACCAAGGACGAGGATAAACGAGTAATCTTCTCCCGTAAAATAGCGAACCACTATACAGATATCTCTATTACAGGAATATTAGGTAAGAGTATATTGATAACGAATCTTCAATGTATATCCTCATTTTACGGTACCAAATGATCCCCCAGCAAAAAAGAGACAATAATAATGTTAATTTTGTAGTAACATAATTCAAAGAATATTGATTGATCGTAGTGGAACCAGAGATAGAAATAGATGAAAATCCTTGATCGCCAATTTCAAGTTCAAGTTCAAGTTCATTTTATTCAACCGTTTAACAAAATCCAAATACAATACAAATAGGAATTCAAAATAAATGGTTAGGCTTGATCATGGAACACCCAATTACATTTAAATCTAGTTCTGAAACATACAAGCCACCTACCGAGCAATCAAACAATTGTCCACTTGTTGGCTAGCAAGAGTTGATATTAATTTCATAACATTATTTGCTGATAATGTTACAGTCGAAATTAACTAGTTGTCGCAAATATTTACATTGATATCGTTTAAGATAAATCATATCCTTTTCAAAGTACCTTTTTTATTTTCAAGAGTACGACATGAGCTATGGGGAGTTGTGTTCTATCTCGGAAGCAATAAATCAAAACCTAGAAGAACCTGCTGATCAAGGTAAGAATATATCTGCTGAGGCATAAAGTTTTTATGGAATATAGTTTGATGCATTCATGATCCAATCCGACATCATTTTGGTCTGATCCGATGATACGGTTTTCCCATCAATTTTCATCAATTCACCAATTAAGCACATATTTCGAGGCATTTTACTTTTACACTTGAGGAATTCAGAAAAGTATCACGCAAGCAAACACAAACACAACAACATCAACAACAAACCAAAACTTTGGATGGTCGAATCCGTAATTTCATGTTGTCACTGATTTCATACACACAAATGCACTCAATATTACGTTTAATAATGACGTTACAGAAGTTGATCTTGTTGATTTTTTCATTTAGAAGCTACTTCTGGCATGCTTCAAGGTCCAGGGATCTCCGAATCACTTCAAAATGTGCTACAGCTGACTGCTCAAGACATAGCTGAGCATCTTGATACCCCACACCCGTTAACAGCATATGCGCTGTTGAAGATGTGGAAAGAGAAGCCACGTCCGTCGGTTTTCAACTATCGTGCAGCCTTAGCTCATGAAATACGGAGAAACATGATGCCTGATCTCGCCGATGAAATAGCTGCAGGTTAGTCTATATGCTATTTATATCTAATACACTGTTGGTCATAATGGTGGAATAATTATTTTTACCCCAATTTATGGAATGATTTTGACAATTATTTATTCCTAATAGATCTGATAAAAGTATACATTCGCATATTTCATTGAATACAAATTTATGAGTGTTTGTGTTGCGTGACTGCTTAAGCATGTGTGTGCTACTATGGTAATCAACTAGGGGACCTACGTCCTTAAGTCATAACTGACAGTAATGAGGATTAATGCCCCGCAAAAGGGCACTAATATAGCACATCGACACGGTTTTGATTCTGGGGCCTCACAGTAACGAGGCCATTGCTTACCTACTGAATCATGACTGTACGCAGCGGGGGCTAGGCTACGGGGCCGCCCCCACAAATACCAAAAAACGAAGAAAATACAATAACTTATCAATAATTCATTGCATTTTGCCCCGATCCCCGACAGAAAAAATAATCTTACAGTGGAATTTTTCCTGTTGGGGACCGGGGGAAAATGCAATGAATAATTGATAATTTAATGCACTTTCTTTGTTGTTTTGTATTAATGGGGGCGGCCCCGTACCTCAGCCCCCGCTGTGTACAGTCATGATTAAGTGGCTAAGCAATGTCCTCGTTACTGTGAGGCCCCAGGGTAAAAACCGTGTCGATCAGCTATAGTACTGTCATTTTGTGAGGCATTAATCCTCATTACTGTCAGTTATGGCTTAAGGTCGTAGGTCCCCTAGTTGGTAAGCATGGTAGCAAACACATGCTTAAGCAGTCACGCAAAACAAACACTCGCAAAGTAGTATTCAATAAAATCTGAGAATGTATACCATTATCTAGATCTATAAGGAATAAATGATTGTCAAAATGATTCCATAAATTTGGGTAAAAAAAATTATTCCACCTTTATGACCAACAGTACTAGTGTATATAGTAAAGCTGAAGAGGTACGTTAAAAGAAAATAGAAAACAAAGAAATTACTACCCTCTTAGAAATAATATCTATGTAGGTTCCAATGGGTATTAAATGTTAATGGTGGAACCAGTAATTTGTGATGGGGAGGGTGAAGGTTAAAGCGAGCACATTTCTCAAATAGTGCTCACGAAAAGGATGGGAGAGGGCCGAGGACGGGTCTTTTAAAGTTGTTTACCTTCAGCTACAACCTTTGTCAGCAAAGTGGAGAATGGATTATCATATATTTATCTTGGGTAGCAGGGTCTAATGTATAATTTTTTGTGTAGCGAAATTCAAATCAAAGTGAGTTCTTAAAACAGAGAACTAAATATGTTGTTGGGAATTATATACGTACATGTCTGTTTCCCATATTTGTATGAATATCTGTAAGAAACGTACATGCTCGATTATGGCCTTTATTCGTATGTGACAGGCAAATACATGAAAAAGAGGACAAGTCTCGCATTCATTGAAGATATGGTTTCGGGATTAAATCAAGATCAACTGAGCTACCTTGTGAAGCTACTTAAACTGAATGGAACAGATGGATACTGGCCTACGAATACACCCTCCGAAATGATCTCCAAGCAGATATATGACTGGGTGGCAGATTGGACAACGGAAATGGAGATTTATCGGAAATCCCGTCCCCGCAGAGAACATGTCAAAACAGGCGAGACGTTGACTGTCCCCAGTGGCGGCGTGATAGCACGCATGACGAAGTCAACAATGGAGTCCCAACTCTCTGAGTCAAATATGCTCCTTGATCACAGGGATTTTAATGATCGGCTCGTTGAGCATGGTTTTCTAGATCTCGCGCGTGAGATTATGATCATAGAGCAACGATCGGTTGCAGGGTTGTTTTCATAAATAGATCAGACTTTGCGTATCATTGGCATTTTTTTGTGTGTGGACCTTCTACTATTGTATACCCTCCCCTATCTAGAGCTCCTCCCCCAAGAGATAAAGGGAAGAGTGCCCACTATAGTAAGCTTGCCTTTTATACGGTGATTGGTAGGAGGGGAGAGCGTTGCTGAATTGTCGTATGATAATCATAAGTTTATACATGTCAGAGGTCTCTACTCAGGTGTTTTAATTATACTTTTGTAAACCATCGACAATATACTGCAAACCTGAGTGTAATAGGTTACGTTCCAAACAGAATGCTAGAAAAATATTGGGACTCTGTATGTATATATGAAATACAGAATGACAGAGAGAGAGAGAGATAGAGGCAGAGATAGATAGCTTGACACTAAACAAATAATATAATGTAAGTTATCAATAGCAACATGACCTTACATTTTTGATCTGCAATGCGCATTAGATTGTTCATTGTTATTAGACTCTTTCTGTTATGAGTTAACAAATTGAATGGTAATAACATTACATTATTATGTTTATCAGTAATTAGTAGCTCCCTCCATTTGAAGCTGTAGCATCTAGTGATGTGTTGTACACGTGTCTCTTTATTTTCCTTTTTAGTTTATTTGTTTGCGCTTTTCTTTGTATCAGTGAATATCAGCCTGTGAAACTTTAAATACAATACACAAACTTAATATGTTACGTGTTTTTTAGTGAACCCATTACAGACTTCTATACATGTAATAGTTAGTTAAGTTAAGATTAAGATCTCAAGTCATAGAATGGTTGCCACTTTTATTTTATCAATCTAATTATGCTTTTATTGTAATATTTTGGTGTTCTATGTTTGTTTTACAGTGTAATTCCATTTAAGTAAGGGCTCCGTCGCATAATTTCTCTCATGTGCTAAATATAACATATTATTGTGTGCAGAACAAAAAATGAGAGTAACCAATGATACATTCATCACACTTTGGAAAATGCTTTAGTTTTGTGAAATTAACTTTAACAAAGGAAGAGGTCTGTAAATATTTGATGTCGCTTATAACTATGAATGCTATCTGTGTCAACAGGTCCTCTTTCTCATCACAATCGTCATCAATTCGTTATTATGTTTGTCAGTAATGATGAATTGTATCTATTTGTTATTATCCTCTGTAGCTGTAGCATTTAGAAATAATATTGTACATATCATATGTCGCCTTATTTTCCATTTTTGTTTATTTGTTAACGGCATTCTTATTCTTTGTGAACATCAGCCTGCGGAACTTAAATACAATACATGAATTTCTGTTATGTGTTTTAGCGAGCCAATTACAGACTTCTGAACAAGAAATCAGTTGTAAAGGGTTTTGTGCGATGGAAGGGTGAATATGATAAAATATACCTGTATCTATAAAGGAATTATTGTTTACGATTTAGTTCAGTTGCGATAATGATCACAAGTCATAGGCTCGTTTCCACTTTTACTGCATCAATCTAATAATGTTTTATTGTAATAGTTGTGTATTCCATATTTGTTTACAGTGTAATTTCATCGAAGTACGGGCTCTGTCACAAAGCTTTCTTTTATGTGCTAAAGATATCATATTATTTTATGCATAATACATAATGAGAATAATCAATGATACATTCATCACAATTTTCAAAATGCTATAGCTTTATGGAACTTAAGAATTAAGAGGTTTGTCAATATTTGTCGTCGTTTATAGGTATGTGAATAGTGTTACAGGGCCCTGCATGTACTTAATCATAATCTTCATCAATGATGTCAAGACCCATTATCTAAACTCGCTATCAAATCCAATTTCTCTGGATGCCAAATTTCATCATAATTATTTCATTTTATTTTGTTTGATGAGGGTATGTATTATTAAAGCATTATAACTAAATAATATCGAAAACAAATGCATTTTTTAACAATATTATTCCTGGATCGAAGCTGACAATGAGCTTGAATATATTACCAACAGGCTTAGGATGTAACATTTACGTTAGAAAAAAAGCAAATATATACAAACATATTATATATTGCAGATTTTTAAATGTTTGGAAGCGAATTTCCACCTTTTGTAGCTGAAAGTATGATACCATTAATAATTAAACTTTCTAATTTCCAATATGTCTAAGTGGCTAACGTATGGCAAAGGCCACATCCCTGATTATTATTGCATCTGGATTATGAATAATGACGGACGGTTCAAGGTATGATGTGCTTAATTTCATTTGAATATTGTTGGAAAATTGTTGTTTATCATAATCATTATTTCCAATACTGCATGTTCTTGCCGAAACGATGATAATTATCATCGTATTTTGAGAGAAATATTCCAGAAGTTACTAAACAGGATAAAACGGGAAAATGATGAGATCATGACAGGCAATAGGGATAATCGGAAAACAGTATATTTAGCTAACTACATACACGTCATACATAATTAGGGAGAGTGAGAGAGGGTTGAGGAAAGGGAGGGAAGGAGAGAGAGAGAGAGAGAGAGAGAGAGAGAGAGGGGATATTTATATAAGTGCTAAATATACGAAACATTAACTATTTCTTAATGTGGATGCAATCGAGAAAAGAAAAGCAAAGTTTCATTGCATTCACATGCTCTATAGTATATTCTAATGGAACATCTTCATGAGGATGTGCATTACCTGATTCTGATTTTTGGACTTAGTAAAATAATCTTTCTGTTGTCACTTTAAACTGGACAGAAATTAGTTTAGAAACGCCAACCACAGTTCAAAGTCATGCTTGCCTATGCTATAATGTCATCAGATTATGCACACTCAGGAGAGTGGCGTAGCCTGGGCTCAGTCATGAGAGAGGGGTTCACCAGTCGTTAGTATACAACAAAAAAACGCTGATCTAGCATATTATGCTAGAGACTATGAACATGACAGTCAAAGAAAGCGGACTAAATATACAGTTCCTTAGGTAGACAAAGGAACATCCCTTCAAAGGAACATCCCTTCACTGCTATTATGTAAAAAAGGTGAATATGCATGTGACACCTGCTCTACACATTTTTACATAATAGCAGTAAAGGGATGTTCCTTTGTCTACCTGAGGAACTGTATATTTTGTCCGCTTTCTTTGTCAGTCATATTCATAGTGAGATCAGCGCTTTTTGTATAGTCACGGTATCCTTTATGGAGTTTCGCGTCACCCCAATCCACCATTCATCAAATAGGATGTGTTTTACATCCCTCGTATACAGTATATACGTAGACATATACTGGCATATTTTTGCGTTAGGGCCGTGAGGGCCTCTTACCCCCAAAATCCGGATCTCAAATATTGCGAGCTAGCGAAATGTTATGTAGCTTCAATAAGGGATTATACGTTTCGGTTCTTGTGCAACATACAAATCAAATTACATTTCATTTTCGGGTGATATGCTTTTTTTGTTTTTGAAATATAGTTTATTGTTCATTCAATGCACCACAAATATTAACGGAATAATAATATATATAAATCAACACAATATTGCAAGATATTGAAATTAAATTACTTTTAACATGAATGAAATGTATGATAAACATAGCCCTTTTCATGTTTACATCTCGTTATCAAATCATTACAAATGCATAACAATAGATATATACGTTTAGTTAATACTAACGATCATAGAAAAATGAAATGATTATATTCAGTTAGAAGTTATTAATCATCTATAAAAAAAATACGTTATGCACTGAATGTGGTGCTAGAATCATAACAATATTCGGGCGACGAGGTGCCCGAATATCGTCATATTATCATCCTATGGGGATATGCATACACCTCACTATCTAAAACTATCCTGTTTATACATTTTGCGAGCGAGGAATAATACACTTTTACTATTTCTGAAATTATATTTCCTCATCACAATACACCAAAGTCATAAATAATTTGGCATCTCGTAGTTTCTGATATTCGGTTTTCATGGAGATGACGTTATTCCAAAACATTATTTTAATATAAGTACCTAAATTAATTTCGCGGCACCCGATTAAAACACGCTAAACTGTGAGAGGGAAAATTAAAAATTAGAACTAAGCCGGGGAAATTATCCCTTGCCCTTTAAGAGTGGGAAGATTTTACATTTTAAAGTAACCCTACACACATACATACTCTGATCAGTTCAGTCTTTTTCTAGCTTTCACCCCTATCTCCATTTCCTTTTGTTCCCTGCCGTACGCTACATCAAGGACGCAGATCGGATCATCCCAAGCATTTTTGATAATCGTTTAATGGACCTCTTACAACAGATTTTATTTAAGATGTATCATGTTGTCCCAACGGTACTGAGTCAGATCATATAATAATCTTTAAAGAGCGTCTTTTTGCCCTTTGAGGGGGGAGGGTGTCTCTTTGTCCCTTCTCCCATAGCTACGTCACTGGCTCAGATTACGAACTTTGATCATGCCTCACGTGGTATCAGTGATAGATTTTTATGATATAAAATATGAAAGTAAACATCAGACTGAATTCAAGCATTTATTCCAGGTATATATAGTCATGTGCAGAGGCGTTGTTTGAACCATTTGAAGGGGGTGTGTGTATGTATGTGTCGGCATGGGAGGTGTATAGGTTATTGGACCAAAATAAATACCATTAATTAATCATATTTCATTCAATCTTAGTAACTTACGCTTAATTCAATGTCACAGATAGGTACAATCCAAAGTAAGTTTGTGTTTAATGGCATCAATATTGGGATTATTAGATTTTAGACATTGTATTTTTACGAATGATATCAAATCGATTGTTATGCTACAATTATCGTTTAAACCCAGCCTCTTACTTAAGAGGACCGGATTTGCCAATAAGTCAGTAAACAAATTAAAAAGCAGTATAGCCCCCTTATTTTAACTTTCCGACGAATGTTTATATGGATCCGCGATCAGAACTTCACGAGGGGAGTGAAATTCCCCATCCCACCCCTAAAGCAAGGCCGATGAGGAAATATCCACGCGAGTTATTATCATTAATTGCTCTGTGAACATATTGCTCAACATGGCGGTTAAAATGGCACTCGCTGTGGGATTATTCATCGTAATCTGTGGGCCACATGGTAAGTGATAGCTAGGTTTAATTGTTAAAGATTTGTATGAACTGATTTTTAGAAATTATACCTATACCACTTTATGTTAATTCAATAATTCGTTCGGTTTGCATGTTGTATGGGTCCGGAAGGCAGGGCCAACCGAAAAACTGAAACTCTTGGTATGCCCTCTACGCTGTGAAGTCCCGCATAATTATTGAAGTAGCGAACTCTGAAAGTAGGAGGTAAACCCAGTCATCCCAGTAGACCGACAGCCCACAAGATCGAGATCCTTCGGTATACCGTCAGTGAAAGTGATCAACATTTCCAAGAGACAAACAACGTTGGTCTTGCAAACCTTCTGAACACATTAATTGTTAGAAAGCCCACGTGACCGGCCATTGAAGACATATCGGTCTCTCCTAAATTTACCACGTTAGTGTCTTATGGAGCTCTCACACTCTGGCGTGTAGGCCTACCGTCCACCTGCCGGGCTATTAAAAAAACAACAGAGTCCAGAACGTTGGGTTTTGAGCGAACTTGTCCCCGGCCGCAAAAAAAAATTCATAAAATTAATCTTTTCACCGTTTCGTTGCCATCTTCTGACGGTTCTCACCGGGCGCATACCGGGTGTTGAACGTGCTTCTACCGTCTTCACCGCCCAGATTGACTTTTGTTGAAAATTTTGGCCGTTTCCATACCGGGCCCATACCGGGTCTCGAACGTGTGCACCGGGTTTGTAGCAGCCACCTACCAGTCACTTAGCGTCCCCTCACCGCTCGGAGCGTCCTGTGAGCGAGTCCCCGGACTGCTGACGTCATGACACGACTGCCATAAATACCCCGATTTGAACGGCAACGGTCAGTCCGCTCTCCATTTTTCATCACCGTTCTGTAACGGGTTATGAGCGTGTTGTGAACGTGTTCATACAGTGTGACCGTTTTCATAACGTATTCATACCGTCCTCTTGCCGCTTACTTGCGGCCGGTGCCAGCCGGCCAAAGTTTTGAACATGCCCAAAACTTTCGCCGGGTCCCACCGGGTGTAAATAAGCGCCAACGCCCTATTAACGTGTTGCCCGCTTTGATAACGAACCACCGTGTGCCCTCGCCGTTCTCCACCGTCCGCAGACATTTTCGCGCACGGTGGCACACGGTATAGGCCTACACGGCAGAGTGTGAGAGTCACTTTAGCGTTTTAGTAGGCATTTCAACCGTCCCAAGGGCACTTAGTTCCGTGTTCACGGTATTAGGCCTACTTTAAATTACACTTTACCAACTGTTCAAGAATTTCAAAAAGTGCAATCAGTGAATAAAATTAGAATATTGTCTTTTCATCCATTGTGTGACATGGCCCGCTGATCGCCCATTGACTCGCGCTGCTATTCTGCGTTAGTCCTGTAGAAATTTTTCAGACCTGGAAATGTTGATAAGTACAAGTTTTTTTTTTTTTTTTTTTGTTCATGTTCTAGATGGGTATTGAAGTAAATTCAGCTTGGTTGCCAGCTCGGCAACCTTGAGCAACTTTTTTTTTATAGCCTAGTTAGCATAATCATCTAATTATCATATGTGCAATATGTAATAATGTTGCTAATCTCAATCCAGGAAGCCTGAAAACATGGGTAATGCTACTTTTCAAGGGTTTTTAATGACGAGGAATTAATTTATGACACCAGTTTTTATTTTTAAGTAATGCAATTGTCTTAAATAGCATAATTAGCATAATGAGCTAATTAGGATATGTTCAATATATGGACTTTATTGTCATTGTTTATCTATAAAGCCTGAAAACGGTGCAATGCATCATTGTAAATCATTTCTAAAAGACGACACATTAATTTCATGTGGGTATAGTATAATTTGCCAAATTAGCATAACAATCCAATTAGCATATATGTGCAATTTGTAGGCCTAATAATGTTGCTAATCTTAATTCAGGAAGCCTGAAAACATGGATATTTTGACTTTCCAGGGTTTTGAATGGCGTGGATTTGATTTATGACACCAGTTTTTATTTTTAAGTAATGCAATTGTTTTAAAAATCATAATTAGCCTAATGAGCTCATTAGCATATGGACAATATATGGACT